AGCACATATATATATATATATATATATATATATATATATATTAAAAATTAACAATTATATTAACTATAACAATTTTACTATGTTTAATTTCAAATTGAGAAATAAGCTCATTTCCTTAAAAAAAACCCTACAAATTGACTTCATATCATCAAGTTGGTGGACTCTCAACTCAAAAAATATTGTGTCACCCACACCAAGATTATGTGAGATGAACAAGGTTCAAGGGTCTATCTGAAAAAACACCAGTCTAGAGCGAGGTGGGCTTTCATGAGTAAACCAAAAAGCTAGTTGAGCCCAATTAAACAGCCCGAATGATACCCTGAATAAACGTTCCCACAACAAATCAACGGTCCAGATCTTCCAACCCTAGAACGAACGCCTCAGATCCACCCTCATCCCATTCCCACTCCCTATAAATGCCCTCCCCTCATTCCTCACCCCAAACCCTAGAAAACTCTCCTCCCTTCAAATCCTCCCCTCAAAACCCTAATCTCCCCTCCCCCGCCGGCGCCCTCCCTTGCCGGAGCCCCTCAAACCGCCGCCGCTCGTCAACACTTCCCCGACCTCGTCTTCGATCTCCAAGCTTCCCCAACACGTGGGAAATGAGCTGCTCCCGTGTCCCCTCCGTTTGGGTGCGGAAACGTACCCAAACCACACCCGACGCGGGTACGGCGCCAAAATTGCCATGTTGGGTTATCATAGAGAGCAACCCAAGTTCGAATCTTGCTGGCCATAAATTTTTAAGCAGTACTTTAAAAAAATTGATACCGCTATGTTAGTCCAAATCCCCCCCCCCCTAAAAGGGTCAATTTGCGGAGACATGTTAGAATATAGAATTATAATCCTCAACTCTCCCACAACTTTGAAGTTTTGGTGTAATGCAGTTTTGGAGTTTTGTTAAGGCTGGGTGGGTTGGATACTTGGATGCATCCAAAGTTACAGCTTCCCTTTGTATTTATTTCCCCTTTTTTTATAGTTGGCATTTAAATGAATTTGATCCATTGGATTTTTGCAAAGCTTTATTTTCTGGCAGTTGTAATGTTAAGAAATTTTCAATCAAATGAACTCGGTCAGTTGGTGAAGAAGATAAATGTTGCAATACTTGATTTCAAGTGTTTTTGATTTTATGTAGTTGGATATGGGAATTGCAGAAAAGGCTGATATCTGAAATTGCTAAAATGGCAGCATAATTTTGTTTATGATGTCAAACCTGTTTTAAAGATGTTTGTTACTTCTTACTGTATCCTCTGATTTCGTAAAAAAAAACTATAGAATTTCCGCCAAGCTTGAAATGAATTGGATGCTTAGGTGCTGTTGTGTTATTCAGAAAATTTTAATTAGATGAACTTGGTTGGTTCGTGAAGGAGTTAAATGTTGCAATTACTGTAGATTTCGATAGTGGTTTTGGATGTTTGTACAGTTTGGATTTGGATATGGGAATTGTGGAAAGCTAACAGTTAAAATTGCTAAAATGGATGCGTAATTTTATTTATGATGCCAACCCTTATGACATTGGTCGCTTTCTAACTGTATCCTCCAATTTCATAAATTTTAAGTGCAGAATTTCCTTCTCGCATGTTCAGTGAAATTTCTAATCCATCTAACAACACATTTTTTCCCCTTGTGATTCAGAGGAATAAACAGATGAAGAGGGTTTTCACCGTATTGCACGAAGAACTGAAGGTGTAGTGATGCTAACACACTGGGACCATTTCAAAAATTATATAAATATGATTCACCATAACTAATTAAAACCTTTCAGTAGTTATTTACTCTGTTTACATATATTTGCAGACACTAAAACAGAGAATTCAGGACTTCGTTGAGATACATAGTAGAGAATGAACAATTCATTTTGTAAGCTTTTGTCTCATCAACATTTTCCCCCCTCACTATTTGAGACTTATTTGTTGTTCACTCCAACACTTTCTACATGCAGCATGCAGATACATTTAGAAACAATGTCACGAATAAAGTCATTGTACGTAAGGAATCATCTAGCTGAGGAGCTATGCTCAAGAAAATGGAAAAAGGAGCAACTAATGCTGACATCTTTTGATTCCTGAAGAATTTGTTGAGGACCGGTGGAATGGAAAAATTGATTATTTCGACATGAAGGGAATGAAGTTTGACACATCACACATGGACTGTAAAGTACCAAGCTTCTAGATTAGCTTGGATGTAAAATACTTGCAATCTTTCTCAATAGCTTACATCAGTTAGGCTGTAAAAATTTTGTAGCTATTGTTTTAGCAAATGTAGGTGCTTGTAGAAGCTAACATGAAAACGAGTTCGTGAAGAGGTGAAGAGAGAGAGAGGTTTTGGTGTCATGCGTAGCTAGTGCTTAGAAATTTATTCCCTCTGTTTTCTTGTTTTCTATTGTTTCCTGCTTTTCTTTCCATTTTTCATTCAATTGTAATAAAATCATTGGAAATATGAAATACGTAATCAATTTTAGATGGTCTCAAGCATTCAACATGAAATATTATTTTCCAAAATCTCGTGGTTGGTTCCATAAAGAGCACCTCTTTTTGGAAGTATGAAATAGGTTTTCAAGTTGAAAAGATGCAGGTTCTATTTGGTACGGTCCTTCAGACCATTACCGGTCGGCATCATTGACGTTCTTAGTGCAGTTACTGCTAGACGCCTGCACCCCTTGCAAAAGAAACAATGACCTGACGTGGTCATCAGTTTGTGTTAGCAGACGCTTCAATGTCCCGTCTCGGCTGGTGCTGTCACGTTTATAAATCGATCAACAAATCCTTCGTGGCAAAATACAAGATAGCCAACTCCATCCTTAGCAAGCATGAAGATGCGAGTAGCTCTCGCTTTGTACTTGAAGTCTTTAGGTTAAGCATTATCTGCATATTGCTAGCTTTGGCGCTGCAAGAGATTTGGTCGGGACCATGCCCCAGTCTCTCTGGCGTATGTGCTCCTACCCTTACTAGAGTTCTGCTCGTGCGATGGGTCTGGTCGAATTCTCTCAAGAAGTTTCTCATTTCCCATTCCAACAATTCAGCATTATCATTTTCAACTTTATTTGCTCATTCAGGTTTTGCTGCTTGAATCTTGTTTCACATGACCACGAAGATACCGTGTTGTCTTAAGGGTCAATCTGAAAGCTCTCAGTTAAATTAGTTTTGACCTAAATCAGTTTAGTTCCGAATGAGCACATGACCTATCAGATCTCATAATATTTATGAGTGGTTGGTGGATTAGTTTGAAAATTTTAGCTGTTCTATCTATGACGCAAACTACCGTATTACTATTGGAGTGGTGCTGACAGTCTGGACCAGAGAAAGTGGAATAAGTAACACAAACTCAATTTTTGAAGACCAAAAGCCGACTTCTCACCCGAAATACCAACGAAACTACATCCAAAATATAGCACGGATCGAATCTCAGCTTATTCTCACCCGAACCCGATATCAAGCGAATACCGAGGGCAAGGTTGGTTCGAGAAGCGAAGAGATGACGACAGCAGGAGCTGGGGTTGGAAAACCGCAGAGTAGCCGTGTGTCACCACACTCTCTCTCTCTACCGTCACCAAAACCGGCATAAGTCTAGAGAGAGCGAGAGAGAGAGAGAGAGAGAGAGAATTAGAGGGGGGCGAGAGAGAGATATACAACTAGGGTTCGCGATTTCTTGAAGGATTCATCAGCAATGGAGCCTTGGAGTTACGCCGATGGCAATATCACGACGTTACTGGAGTCTCGCCGGTTCGACCCTCTTCAGGTAATCTCTCTTCAGGTAATCTAATTCATTGACCTTCAGCTCTATTTCCAGTTATCTCATCAAAATTTCTGTTCTTTTTGCTGTGTCAACGATTCGCTAACGAAATGGGAATTGAGGAGCTTAGCGTCATATAGAGCAAATTTGATATAGTTTGTAATTGTTGTTAGGAAAACTGCAAATTTTCAGCTGTGACAAGCTTTGAAGTTCCTGAGGGGTTTAGTTATGATAGTGGGATTAGTCATACGAAGAAAAGATAATCAGATATCGGCACTCATAGGGTCATGTGCGGATAAGTGTTAAAGAATTGGAGGATGGCTACAATTTTTGTAAATATGAAGCTGGGAGTTGAGAAAGGGGCGCAAAAGGTAATTTCAGGAACCTTTTGTGGTGCACAATGTACTCAAAAGAGAATTCTATGAACCTTTAGATCCAATCAGTGCTTGTTTCATCAGACTTTCTAACGGTGAATACTTGAGTAGAGACAAGATAAACTTTTTTTTTGTATTTCATCCATTGAAGAATATATGGGTAGTGCCTTCGTTCTATTTAATCAATTTCACTGGTCAAATCAGACGGATGAAACAATAGGAGTGTTAACTGTTAAGTGGTGGACACCGGAGATACTTGAAAAAAATTGCCCGTGGTATTTTTCTTTTTAAGATTATATTTTCCTTTTTAAAAATTAAACTATAAACTTTTTCATGCTTTTTGATGTGGTGCTCCAAGGCTGGTGTTTCCAAGGCCTTTCTTTTGCTTCATCGGACATCAGTAAGATCTTCTCTTTCAAATTTTGTTCTTGTTGACAAATTCACATGCTTTTGGTCATCGATTGTCTTTTGATTATCCACACAAATGTGAGATACTTATTGAATTATGCGTACAGAAGAGAAAGGACCAAAGAATTGGTAAGAATCGGTGACATAAGATTAAAAGGATGTTGACCGTGAGAATCACATTGGATACAGAGCCAAAATTTTGGATTGTTTGAGCGTAATGACCGTGAATAGAGAGTTAGGCCTCAATGTTCTTATGCAGATGACATGGGTGATAGACGTGAAACTGATACAATAACATGTATTTCCATGAACATGGCCATTATGCAAGTGGGAATAAGCCAGCATGGAGAGTCAAATGGGAGGTCTTTCTGAGTCAAAAGGATGTCCCGTTCGGAGCACATAAGGAACAAAGGACATTCAAACTACAAGTCATTTAACCTTATATGTACTATTCAATCTTGCATATCACTTAATATCTCTTGACCTATGTTTCTTGTGGGTTGAGTTTCTGTTTCTTGCTTTAGGCCATAGAGTGAACTTGATGAGATCTGTGCCCTTACTATATTGTCCTCAACTTCAATTTCATCATATATGCTCGATTTCTGGATGGCAATTGAACGTTGGTGTAGCTTGAGCTGGGTCACAAACATCGCTTATGTTGCCCAAATGATTTCAATAAAGAATGGGTCAGCTTTGAGTCAGGGGCAGTTCCAAATTGATTAGAAGTTTTATTTGGCGGAGATGAAGGATGAGCTGCTTGAGAAGCAAGTAACGGGGAATTAAAAGCCAAGGTTTGCATGAAAATAGCATATGAACTGGGGTAGCTGGTAGTTTCTTCATGTTGGCCACCATTTCCCTTATAGAATTTCAATTATCTCTGACATTGGGATGACGCTTACAAAGTTGAGATACAAATCGGCTCCTGATGATTTGTCTGACTGTTTCCTCATGGTTTCTAATATTTTTCTCAAAATTATGTCTAACATTCAGCCTGGAAATTGTGATATCAAACATTAGTTCTTTTAGTAGTTTTATCTTGGAGACTTGGATCTAATTTTATTTGATTTTATTTTTTTATAGAATTTGCATGATATATAACTTATTTTATCTTATGCAGGATGTGAATCGGAGGTTACAAATGCATTCATCTCTGGTACAACGGCTGGCACTTGAGAAGGAAATGAAGGTCTGTGTTCTAAATCCATTGATATGCTTATATGCACTGAAATGTTTAGAATGATGCATAAGTAATTGTGCAAGTCTGTTTTGTCCCTTCCTTCTGTTTCTTTTAATTGTAACTATCCTCTTCGTACTCAAAGATAAGCCGAAAACAACTTCTTCATTCTCTTCCCTCTTGTTTTTAAGCCAATATTTACCTTGTTAATTACTTTCTTTTTTGCTGAAGGGTTATGTTATTCCTTTCCCACTCAAAGATGAATCCCCAAAAAAGATATTTTTCCTTCACTTCTCTTAACTTGTTTCTGACCTTGAGTAACCTTGAACTACCTGTTCACTCTTATATCTTTTGTCTTCTGCTCAATTCAATTTTTGTGTTGATGGATGGAATTTTGAAATCGTCCAGGATATTTGTTTGTTCTTATCTTCTGTTTTGTACTTTATTTAATAAAAAGAATTTTGAGAACATTGCTAGGCAAGGTTTTAGCTTCTGAGCCTTTATGCATTTTTGGGTGCCACTTCTCAGAAAATAAGAATAGAAAGTTTGGACTTGTAATGCAGTGAAATTGATTTCTGATAATGCCTTTTCCTGTTGTTTTTCTTGGTGTTCTGTTAAAAATTCTGGAGCTTAACATAGTTGTTTCAGTGGTCCAGCTGTTATTTATCAAAACAGTTTGAGGGTGTAAATTATTGTGACTTCCAGGTATCTACAGTTTCCAAAATAACTATGGCCTGAAAATGACATTTTGTTGCATTTACCTGATAATGGTAGAATAGTTTCTGTAGTTCTTGTTTAAAATTTTGGACTTAAAAGTGGAAATTCTTTTATACTATAAATTTGGTCATGCCTTTGCCAGGTAAATATACCCGCCTTGCAACCATGAGTTTTGTGTGTGTTGGCCATTCACTCTTTCATATCCAAACCAGAATCTCGAGGAGGGAGAAGGCTAATTTTATTTTAATACTAAGGCATAAAGTCAAAAAATTATTTTATGGATCATAAGAAAACATCTATTATGATTGTGTGTGGCACTTGTAACCTGATAATGTTCTTAGAAAGCATGATTATGGAGTGGTCGCAGGTAACGAGACTTGATAGTCATGGTTCTCTTTGTGGACAGGGTGAGTGCCATTAATAAATTAATATAACCCTTATGGATTTTGATTATGAGCTAATGATCTGAACAAGAGGCCCATCATGTACTCATCTATGACTTTTGTCAATGTTAACAATAGAAGATATGGAATAATTTTGCTGCACATAAAGGGAGTGCTTATTATCGTAATTTGGAAGAGATGATTGGTGTTTACAATTTGGTTGAAAGAGAAGATTAGGGTACCTATAATTTATATATTGGGACTCAGTGGTATCCTTGGCACAATAGTAAGAGTTGTTGCCATGTGACCTAGTGTGCAAAGGTTCGAGTGGTGGAACAACCTTTTGGAAAAATAAAATTCAAGGTGAAACTACGTACAATAGAAAGCGGTTCGACCATGTGTCAGACCTCAGGCATGGCGGGAGCTTCATGCACTGGGCTGCCCTTTTTATTTGATTATTGATTTCTACTGTTCCCAATTAATATAGGATTTATGTTTCATACGTGAGAAGAGTGGACATTCAAATTTTTCTTGGAGTTTTTATGCTTTGAATTTTGAGCTGCTCCAAAGTTTTGTATTACAAGAACTTCGGATAGCAGATGGAAAAACAATTCAGAAGTGAATACTGATGCAGAAAGACAAGATAGAGATTTCTTGAGAGATCTTATTGGGATAAAATAAAACAATAAACAAATATTATTGAAAATGCACTCCCCAGAATAAATGATACAAATGCTTGATCTTCAAGCCCGAAGCCTGAGCGCTTCATATGCTGGCAATTCATATGCCTAATATTACCTGGCAGAGTTTCTTACAAACATTCTTCTCCTCCTCTCAAATGAAAGCACATATAATTCAGATAAGAAAAATCCTAGCTAAAAACAAGACAACATAAAATAACATCCTAACTAAGAAGCGATAATATCGGATAAGATTCTAACCAAATGAGATGATAGAATTAAATAAAACTATAACTAATTTATCTAATCTTAATTGAATTAAGTCAAATTCAACATTCTTCAAATCTTTTCCAGATTCAGATCTGGGTCTGTCCATCACTTTCCTCCCACTATCAAAAAGTTTCTCTTATATTTCTAAGTAGGAAAAACTTCTATCTCGTTGTACGCCAGCCATGATTCTTAGTCATAGTATTGTATGTAATTTTTACTCGGCCAAAGTATAGGGAATCTGGATTATTGTTTAATTGGGGTATAATTAGGCACAATTCTGTCTTGTAACCCCCATTTGGCCTATAAGGAACCATAATTTGGAGATGAGCCTCATATCAAGAACCAAATTTTGGGTAGGCTCAGATATGGATCTCATACATCCAAGGCTGACCTGAAAGACACAAAGCGGATTTGACCTGAGCCTTACTAGGAGGAACTACCACTTACTAAATTGTTTAATCTGGTAAAAATTATGGACTTTAGTCCTCTTTATCTGCTTCTGCTCCTGAGGACCATGTGAGTCTAGACTAACTTACAACCATACGTTTGTTTTGATAATATAATGAAGAAAATCCAACGAAGATTGCAGATATTCTCACATCATAGGCATCAAAGTTCCTCACAAAGAAACAAATTTGAGACTATATAAATACCCTTACCTTATTCAAAAAGGTAAACCCTAGAGGGGTTTTAACTATAGTTATCTTTTGTAGAACAATTGGTGAACTCCTGAGCCTAAATCCAGCATTGCGGGTTGACACCCTTTTGTGTTCATAGTGTTGGCTACACAGATAGAGCCACCTAGACAGCTACCTGTTCACTCTCAGTCATGCACCTATATACCTACCTGTTCAATATCATCCATGCAACTAAAAGAATGAAATATGCGTTCATATCTTTGTTTTAGAATCATCTTAAGTAGTACCAATACATTCAAATCATGCTTTTCCTAATATTAATGATACTCAGAAGAATGCATATAGATCGTCGTTTTACTAATATAAACAAGGTGAACCATCCATTTTAGGTCTGAGATGTTTAGTTGAATAAGTTGTCTTTTTAGGCAATCTGCTGCTCTATAACTTTTTAGAGCATGTACAAAGTGTGTTCTCATCTTGAATCAATCAATATTGACTGCTTACTGTTCATAGAAAAAATTATTCTGTTCGTGGCACTTCGTTCTTTCTTTCTTTCGTTTGCATACTCTGGTGAATTTTGCTATTTTTGTTGCTTTGCTAGTTGAAGTTCTTGTGCAATTGACTGCTTCTACTGACAGGGCCATGAAGGTTGTGTGAATACAATTGCATGGAACTCAAAAGGAACACTTCTGATATCTGGTTCAGATGACATGAGAGTATGTTTATGTACTTGCCCTTAAAGTAGACTATACCACGTTCCCCCATGCCATTCTGTTCTGCTTGGATTGCCCTCTATGTTTTCTCATTTACTTATCCACATTGTATATAAAAGGCAAGATAAGAAGAGGAAAACAGTTGATATAATTGTCATATTGATTGCACAGTATCAGTGTAAAGCTTTTCAATGTACACATTGACTGCTAAGAATTATTATTGTGTCTACATCAGTGATGGTTACAGTGTGGGTTGTGTTTCATCTTTTTAACATGTTCCCGTTAAGAATTGAGAAATTGGTTTCCTGATGATAAATGGATTGGTCCAAATTCGGCTATCCTCCTTTTAACTTTGATGTACTTCTTATATTTGACTGGATTGGATACTTAACAAGTTTGGACTGTGTTTCTTCTTTTTTACATGTTCCCATTAAGAACTGAGAAATTGGTTTCTTGATGATAAATGGATTGGTCCAAATTCAGCTATCCTGCTTAACTTTGATAGATTTCTTATATTTGACTGGAATGAATTCTTACAGCTGAACATTTCAGTGTTAGAATATTAAGTTATGCCGAAAATTATAATACAGCTTTTATAAATATCATGCCAGCAAAACTGTTAGCACACCTTTTATTACCAGGCACTTCCGTGTGTATTTGCATGGAGGCGCTTGCGATGCTTGCTTGTGCATTTCTGTGTGTGCACTTTTGTGTTTGCTATGAGTGGATGCCGAACTTATTTCACTGTGATATGTACTTGATTTTAGTTGTGCTTTGCACTCAAATATATACCTACTGTGGTATGAAGCCTGCACAGTTGGACTCTATACAGAAGAAAAATTGTTGTATTTTTTTGAAACAAGGAGACTTTTTACTCTCTCCCATTATAGGGGAGAAAGTATCCTTGCCACTCATTGATAATGCCGTGATTTGAACAATACATTGTCATCAGTCCTACTTTATCCACTTTTATCAGGTTTCCTCTTAAGGATGAAACAATATTGTTCCTTTGGTCACATCATATTATTACTACTACTTGTGAATTTGAAGTTGGCACCAGTTTAATATCTGACTAAAATTAGCTAAATCCTCCATGGAGTTTTCTTACCTCAGAGTTGTGCTCTATTTACAGCTCCATAAATGGTCAACCAGTATTTATTCACATACTACTTGCTTTATACTGGTGTTTTATCCTTAATTTCTTCTTTTTTAGATTTTTATTTAGGCAAATTTTTTGAACTACGTTGTTACTTTGTCTCTGTGTGTGTATGTGCGTGTTTCTGTTTTTTGTTGTTTTTGTTTTTGTTTTTTGTTTTTTTTTGGGTGGGGGGGGGGGGG